CATCAAAAGGTGTTGTGGTGTTGATGTGCTATTGAATTTCTGGCAAACTGCTTTTCTTTTATCCCATCTGTTTTTTTTTCATCAGATACTGTGCATCCCCGACTCAATTGCTGTCTTTGAATTTATTAAACATGAATTTATTTTCTTTTATTTTTTGCTTCTGTGCATTGCATAACTAATCTTTTCCATTGATCAACCTCTCACATTTTAACAAGTTCTAGCTGTTTTCCAGGGAGCTAGGTGTCCCACTGGGCCTGAAGTCAAGAAGAATCATCTCCTTGAGTTCAGACCTGGCCTCAGACACTTACCAGCTGTGTGACCCTGGGCAAGTCACTTCACCCTATTTCCATCAGTTCCTCATCTGTCAGATGAACTCAGAAGAAAATGGCAAACCACTCCAGTATGTCTGTGAAGAAAAGCCCAAATAGGGTCAGGAGAAGTCAGACAGGACTAAACAACAACAATAATTGTTTTCACAATCATGGATTTGTGGTATAGCTTGGAATTGGCAGTGATAATCATTAATTCAAACCTCTTTCTTTCCTCCTTCCCAGCCTCCATTATTACCCTTGAAGTGCTCGACCTCTTTTTAGACTTTTTTATTGATATTTACTGTGTCTGACATCACCAAGGTGTCCCATGTATCCCTCCCTCTCCCCATCCTCAAGAGCTATGTCATGTGACAAATAGTATTTTGTTGTTGTTGTTCCAGGGAGGAAACGTGAACACAATGGATCAATGCATTTGGGAAAAGGCGCTCAATGTGTAACACCTGTGGACCTCTCATGTCCTGGATGGTTTAGGTTAGTGGTGTCTTCTCCTGTCTACTTTTCAGTTCCACTTGAACTTTAACATTTTGTTACACATACATTAAATTTTTTGTATCTCATTCTTTCGTTGTAGTTACCGTGTATATATTCTGTTTTCTTGGCTCTGCTTAATTCACTCTGCATCTCTTCGCAAAGATCTTTCTTTACTTCTCCGTACTCATCACACACATAATTTCTTACTGCATGGTGGCAGTATTCTGTGCCTTTCATGTTCCAGGTCTTGTTTAGCCATTGCCCAGTTGATGAGCATCTACTTTGTTTCCAATTCATAGCTGTCTCAAAGAGTGCTGTTATGAGAATTTTTGCATATATGGGGGACTTTTTTTCTTATTGATGACTTCCTTGGGGTGTAATGCAGTCATTGTTTTATAGATTTTGTGGACATTTTTGTTACTTTCTTTACAGAATAATTCAAATTACTTTCCAAAAGAATGTGTCATCTCACAGCTCCTCACTAGTAAGGTACTAGTGTGTATATATTCCCACAGCATTGTTTAGGTGTCAAAAACATATTTGTGCCATAAAAGGAATTGGATAGGACTCCTTCTTTACCTGCTGTTTCATATAGTTTATAGAGTACTGGGATGAAACGTTTTTAAATGTTTAGTAAAATTTACTTTCAAATCCACCTGGTCCTGGAGATTTTTTTCCCAGGGAGCTCAATTATACCTCATTCAATTTCTTCTTTTAAGGGAGGGTTATTTAAGAATTCTATTTCCTCTTCTGTTAACGTGGGCAGTTTATATTTTTGTAGTATTCTTCCATCTCACATAGATTGTCACTTTTGCTGGCATAGGATTGGGCAAAATAACTCCTAAGCATTGCTTGAATTTCACCTTCATTGGTTATGCATCCCTCCTATGTAAGATAGATTGCTACACTCAACTGAATAGGTGTTATTCCCTCTTGGAGCGAAATCCATTGAGAGTAAAGTTCAAGCAATGCTCAGCAGTCTCCCTCTTTCCCTCCATTGTAATTGCTCTTCTGCACCTTTAAATGGGATATAATTTACCCCATTCTTCCTCTCCCTTCCCTCTTCTCCCAGTGCAACTCTCCTTTTCACCCTTTAATGTTTTTGTATCATCCCATCGAAGTCAATTTATATTCAGACCCTCTGTTATTGTAAACTCCTTCTAACTGCCCTAACAGAAATACAGTTATTAAGAGTTAACAAGTGTCATCTACCCTGTAGGGATGTAAACGACAGAGTGAATGACTTACATTCTTGCTTTCCTCTTCAACTTTTTATGGCTCTCTTGTGTCTTATATTTGGAAATTGAATTTTCTCTTTAGCTCTGCTCTTTTCAAGAGGAATGTTTGAATGTCCCCTATTTCATTGAATGCCCATTTGCCCCCTGAAAGATTATATTCAGTTTTACTGGGTAGTTGATTCTTGGTTGAAATCCAAGCTCTTTTACCTTCCAGAATATCTTATTCCAACCCCTCTGACATTATGCATGTTTACTCGGTGTGTACTCTGGCCTTTGGGAATCCATAGTGATAGCAGTAACTTAACCCCTAACTGAAAAATGTTTTATTGATGCCCTTTAAGGAAACCAACTGAACCCCTTCTTCATGGAAGGAATGTTCCCAGTAGCTAGCTTATGGGGCAACAAAATCGGGAGGAAGCTCCTGGCTAAAGACCTTCAGGAAATCCTTGTATTTTGGTGAGAATTCCTTCTCATTGTTCCTGAAGGAAGTCTGTTTGGTTGAAACAAAAATCTTGGGTGTCTCCTGAGCATGCTTAGAGTCCTTTTCCATGGGGAAGCCTACCTTGGCTGGAGCTCCATACGGCACTTGTTTTGTATGGACATAACCACCCAAATACCACCTCTACAGGGTACAGCCTTGCCGTACCTCTCAGAGTCATGCATCCATCCCTTAGAACTCTCTGCCTGTCAAATCAGGGGGAGCCTTTCCTGCTTCCCAGGCCCCCTCCCAGAAGATGGCTTCCTTAAAGTAGCCACCCTCTTAGACAGGGCCTAGTGTAGAAAGGGCCTCTCCTGTTTGTGCAAAAATGGACAAAAACAGACATTTTCCAAGGATGCTAACAAAAATCTACAGAATGAAGAAGCACAGAGATCAACACCTCCTCATTAAAAAGGAGGGAGAGGATTGAGAGATGTTCTCAAGGTCCATATCAAACAAGTTTAACACTGACAGGAATACTTGTGGAACACAGAGATATAGCACTTCCTTTAGCAATAGTAAAAGTAGGTTAAAAGAAATCAATAGATATTCATCCCTGGATGTGTCCAGTGTATGTGAAAGTGGTCAGTCTCTGGGGAAGACTATAAAGTAGCAAAGATCCAAGAGTGAAGTCCAGATGCACTCAGTAGGTGACATTCCACAGGATTTCAACCAACAAGGTGTGTATACAGAGAACCCCGAAAAACGTGCTGGTCACGTGGGTTCGTTTGTAGAAATGGAGGGGATTTCTGATGACAATCCCATATAAGGTCATTCTGAGGAGAAAGTATAGATTGTGCTTAAAGAGGCCATATGTAGCAATCAGCACAGACCACGGAAGGAAGTGGTAGAAACTGAGCACCACTTCACTGCAGGTTGTAAAACAATAGTACCTAATCAATACTTAGCAAGACATGAACTTAGCAAAGTGGAATTATCCCTCAGAAGCTCAATATCTTTCCAAGGAGAACAGGTGAAATGTTGATGTTACAAATGCAGATCTCAGCATATCCTTGGGAATTCAGAAACAAATTGTACTGGAACTGGAACTTTGTCACGAAACAAAACTATTGGCCCCATCTCCTAGTCATGCCATTGATCCATAAAAAACCAAGAACAATGTGGGGTTTTTTTGGCTTTTTTTTGAAGGCAATTGGGGTTAAGTGACTTGCCCAAGGTCACACAGCTACTAAGTGTCAAGTGGTAGGTCTGAGGCTAGATTTGAACTCAGGTCCTCTTGACTTCAGGGCCGGTGCTCCATCCACTGGGCCACCTAGCTGCCCCAAGAACAATGTTTTTAATAGCATAGCAAGTGTTCCTAGTCTCTAAGTTGCATGGATGAAAAGCTTGCAACATACAGACCTAGGGGAAGAAATGAAGATCACAGGGGAACAGCCTGAGGAACATGTGATCCCCACAGTCCTGTCTCCTCCTAGAATTGTCCTAAAGATGTATTCCTGGAGCCTGCAGCAGAGAAGTTAATATCCCAATACTTTTATTGAGTTACAAAAGACAGTAATTCTGTGCAGTGATCTGAAGAATGTTAAGCAGAAAAGAATCAATGGCATGATATGTAAACTGCATCAAAAAACTAACAGAGATGAATAATAATGATAAGAAGAAGAAAGACTTCTATAGTGCTTCATGGTTTGAAAAGACATTTGCAAAACATCTCCTTTAAACCTTACAACCACCCTGTAACTTACTCAGCCTAGGTATTATTATCACCTCCATTTTACAGATGTGAACATTGAAGTTTAGAGAGTTTAAGTGGCTTGCCTTTGGCCACACAATGAGTCTAGGTCTTGTGTCTCCAATTCCAGGCGTCTCTCCACTGTGCCAATTCACTAATGGGAGGGTATCTGGTTTTGGAGAGAATGAAACCCCAAATCTGAGAGAGTTTTAGAAAGAAAAGTATGAAGTCCCTTGGTGGAGGAGGCTGAGCCAGAAACGAGGGTGTGGCTCCCTCTTGTCCAGGCTCTGGAAGGTTTATATTATGTAGCATTTAGACCAGAGAACCCGCACATGAATATCGGGGCAAATGTGCTGCTTTCCTGAGTGCCCCCCTATCCCTCCTAGCCCAGCCTGATCTTTGTCTCCTCTTGCCTGGACAAAGGAGGCTGAGCCGCACCCTTTCCCCGGACCAGCCCTTTCTTTCTCTGCTCTGGAAGTTGAGAGGAATCCAAGGGCCATTCAAGGGTTGCTGGTTTGCAGATCTTGCTGCAGCTTCTGTGCTCTCCCCTTTCTTGGAGCCCAGGACAGCCCTCCCTCGACCTCCCCCTTCCCTTCCTTCTTCCCCCTCCCAGTGTCCCTAAAGGGGCCCACCTTCAAGAGCTCCTAGCTGAGCTGAGCTGCTGCCCCCACCCCCAGTCCCAGCAGCTTGCTCTCAGGAGCCTGGGAACCGGATCAGCCCCAGGGCCACTTCCAGATGGAAGACGCACCTGCGGCCCACTTCCCTGGTCTGTTTGGCTGATGGGGCAGAAAGAAATGACTGGCGGGGGGGCTCCCCACTGCTCTGAGCCTGATGTCACAGAGCCTTCTCCTCTCCCTCCGCCCTTCCCCCTCTGCTCTGAGAGACTAGCCCCGCCCTACAGTGACGTCACTGTACCCACCCTCTCTCACCATCTTGGAAGTCTTTGTCTCTGGTGGAGGCTATGAGTGGGGTGAGCAGCTGGAGGTCCGAGTGCCCCCCCCACTTTCCTTCTCCACACCCCTCCCCTCCGTTACCCCCATCTTCCAGACTGACAGATCCGGAGGGTCCTGCAAGTGTCGAAGTGTCTGTGAGCGAGGTGAGTGCCCCCTCCCTGCTCCTGCCTCAGCCCCTCCCTTTCTTCTCCTTCTCTCTCTCTCCACCACAAAATTTTCATGAAGCCGAGGACGCCCCCTCCGCAATTTGCTTCTCTTAATGATCAGGATGTGGTTTCTAAGGGTGAGTGGAAGGTCCTGGGAGTATGGATACCTTTGTTTATGCCTGTGTTGTGTCCGTAGGTAGGATCGTCTGGGGGGGGGGTATGAATGTTTCAGTGTGTGTACGTGTGTATGTATGGGGGGGTGCTCCGTGTGCCTACTCCCCCAGGGCTGCTTCTCCCTGGAGCTTCCTGCCTTCCCAGGCCTTTGTGTGGAGGTCTGGGGCTTGGGGGGTGGTGACGTGAAGTGGAGTGGAGGCCAGCAGGGAGAAGCCTTTGGAGACACTCCCTGCCTCCCCCCCTCAGGTGGATGTTTCCATCGTTTCTTCCTCCCTTCCTCCCATCCTTGGCTTGGCCTTGAGGCTGGGGAGAGAGGACACAGTCTAGGACCTCTTCCCCTCCCCTTCTCCTTGTCACCTCTTTTGTTTGGTGTCCTTTACTTTAATGGTATATTGATTTTTTGTTCTGGTTTCCACCAGGGCCTGGTGAATGGGGAGTTTCCACGTACTTTGCTGTGGAACAGAAAGAGGGGACTGTTCCTGAACCTGCGGATCTCTGTGATTTACAGCCTGAAAGAAAAGAGTTGTTTTAATGTGCACTTCTCTAATTACAAGGAATTTGGAGCATTTTGTCTCCCGTTTGTAGAGGACACTGAGCCAGAAAAGAGGATGTGCCTCTCTCTTGTCCAGGGTCTGCAAGGTTTATATTATATAGGATTTATGCCAGAGTACCCTCACATGAACAGCCAGGGCAGACAAGCTGCCTCCCTTGGTGCCCCAATCTCCCTCACCCCCTTCCCCGCCCAGATCTTTGTCTCCTTTTGGCGGGAGAAAAGAGGCTGAGCCCCGCCCTTTCCCCAGACCAGCCCTTTCTTTCTCTGCTCTGGGGATTGAGAGGAATCCAAGCGCCATTCAAGGGTTGCTGGTTTGCAGATCTTGCTGCAGCTTCTGTGCTCTCCCCTTTCTTGGAGCCCAGGACAGCCCTCCCTCGACCTCCCCCTTCCCTTCCTTCTTCCCCCTCCCAGTGTCCCTAAAGGGGCCCACCTTCAAGAGCTCCTAGCTGAGCTGAGCTGCTGCCCCCACCCCCAGTCCCAGCAGCTTGCTCTCAGGAGCCTGGGAACCGGATCAGCCCCAGGGCCACTTCCAGATGGAAGACGCACCTGCGGCCCACTTCCCTGGTCTGTTTGGCTGATGGGGGCAGAAAGAAATGACTGGCGGGGGGGCTCCCCACTGCTCTGAGCCTGATGTCACAGAGCCTTCTCTCCCTCCGCCCTTCCCCCTCTGCTCTGAGAGACTAGCCCCGCCCTACAGTGACGTCACTGTACCCACCCTCTCTCACCATCTTGGAAGTCTTTGTCTCTGGTGGAGGCTATGAGTGGGGTGAGCAGCTGGAGGTCCGAGTGCCCCCCCCACTTTCCTTCTCCACACCCCTCCCCTCCGTTACCCCCATCTTCCAGACTGACAGATCCGGAGGGTCCTGCAAGTGTCGAAGTGTCTGTGAGCGAGGTGAGTGCCCCCTCCCTGCTCCTGCCTCAGCCCCTCCCTTTCTTCTCCTCTTCTCTCCACCACAAAATTTTCATGAAGCCGAGGACGCCCCCTCCACAATTTGCTTCTCTTAATGATCAGGATGTGGTTTCTAAGGGTGAGTGGAAGGTCCTGGGAGTATGGATACCTTTGTTTATGCCTGTGTTGTGTCCGTAGGTAGGATCGTCTGTGGGGGGGGGTATGAATGTTTCAGTGTGTGTATGTATGGGGGGTGCTCCGTGTGCCTACTCCCCCAGGGCTGCTTCTCCCTGGAGCTTCCTGCCTTCCCAGGCCTTTGTGTGGAGGTCTGGGGCTTGGGGGGTGGTGACGTGAAGTGGAGTGGAGGCCAGCAGGGAGAAGCCTTTGGAGACACTCCCTGCCTCCCCCCCTCAGGTGGATGTTTCCATCGTTTCTTCCTCCCTTCCTCCCATCCTTGGCTTGGCCTTGAGGCTGGGGAGAGGACACAGTCTAGGACCTCTTCCCTCCCCTTCTCCTTGTCACCTCTTTTGTTTGGTGTCCTTTACTTTAATGGTATATTGATTTTTTGTTCTGGTTTCCACCAGGGCCTGGTGAATGGGGAGTTTCCACGTACCTTGCTGTGGAACAGAAAGAGGGGACTGTTCCTGAACCTGCGGATCTCTGTGATTTACAGCCTGAAAGAAAAGAGTTGTTTTAATGTGCACTTCTCTAATTACAAGGAATTTGGAGCATTTTGTCTCCCGTTTGTAGAGGACACTGAGCCAGAAAAGAGGATGTGCCTCCCTCTTGTCCAGGGTCTGCAAGGTTTATATTATATAGGATTTATGCCAGAGTACCCTCACATGAACAGCCAGGGCAGACAAGCTGCCTCCCTTGGTGCCCCAATCTCCCTCACCCCCTTCCCCGCCCAGATCTTTGTCTCCTTTTGGCGGGAGAAAAGAGGCTGAGTCCCGCCCCTTCCTTAGACCTCCCCCAACACTTTCTCTGCTCTGGGGATTGTGAGGAATCCAAGTTCCATTCACTACTGCTTTGCAGATGCTGCTGCAGCTACTGTTCTCTTCCCTTTTGTGGAGCCCAGGGCACCCCTCCCTCCACCTCCCCCATGCCCTCTTTGTCCTCCCCCTCCCAGTTTGCATAAAGGGGCCGATCCTCAAGAACTGCAAGCTGAGCTCTGCTGCCGCTTCCCACCCCATTCCCAGCAGCCTGTCCTCGTGAACCTGGGACCCTGGTCAGCGCCAGGGCCACTTCCACGTGGAAGATGCACCTGCGGTCCGCTTCCCTATTCTGTTTGGGTCATGGAGGTAGAGAGAAATGACTGGGAGGGCTCCCCACTGCTTTGGGCGTGATATCAGGAACCCCCTCCTCTCTTCCTTCTTTGCTCTGGAGGAGACTAGCCCCGCCCTGCAGTGACGTCACAGAGTCCCGGCCTGAAGGAGGGGGTGGGGCTCTCCTACCTTCTATTAAGTGTGAGTTTCTTTGTCTCTGGAGGAGGATGTGAGTAGCATGGAAAGCTAGAGGTCTCCTTGCCCCTCCACACCCCTCCCCTTCGTTACCCCCATCTTGCAGACTGACGTATCCTGAGGGTCCTACTAATGCCTAAGTGTTTCTGAGGGAGGTAAGTGCCCCCTCCCCTGGTCCTGCCTCAGCCTCCCCCTTTTTTCTCCTTTTCTTCCTTTCTCCCCCCCAACCTTTTCATGAATCAGACCCTCGACCCCCCCAATTAGTGCTCAGGAGGTTGGGTGTAATGGTGGGTGGAAGATCCTGGAGTATCAATGCTTTTGTTTATGCCTCTGTTGTATATGTAGGTTGTATAATCTGTGTGTGTGTGTGTGTGTAAGACAGAGGCTGGTGGGGGGAGCGTGTGTCTTTTGTGGGTGTGTGCTCCTGTGCCTGCTTCCCCATGGCTGCTTCTGCCTGGGGCTTCCTGCCTGCCCATGCATTTGACTGCAGGTATGGAGCTTGGGGGGTGGGGAGATGCAGTGGGGTGGAGGCCAGCTGGGAGAAGCCTTTGGAGACACTCCCTCCCTCCCCTTCTCACGTGGATGTTTCCATCCTTTCTTCTTCCCTTCCTCCCATCCTTGGCTTGGCCTTGCGGCTGGGGAGAGAGGACAGAGTGTAGGAACTCTTCCCCTCCCCTTCTCCTTGTCACCTCTTTTGTTTGGTGTCCTTTACTTTAAGGGTATATTGATTTTTTGTTCTGGCTTCCACCAGGGCCTGGTGAAAGGGGAGTTTCCACGTACCTTGCTGTGGAACAGAAAGAAGGGACTGTTCCTGAACCTGGGATCTCTGTGATTTACAGCCTGAAAGAAAAGAGTTGTTTTAATGTGCCCTTCTCTCATTATAAAGGATCTGGATCATTTTGTCCTAGGGCCTTTGATAGTTTGGACTTCTTCCTTTGAAAACGTGCCTGTCCTTTGACCTAGTAGAGAATGGCTCTTATTCTTAGAAATTGCAATCAGTTCCTTCTTTGTCTTGCATGTGCAACAGGCCTTAGAGATCTTTACTGTAAGGAAGATTTTCCTCACTTAGTCGTTACCTTTCTCATTTTAACTGCATTTAATGTGTTTGTGCAAAAGCATTTCAACTTTATAGAAGCAGAATCATCCATTTTATTTTCGGTGATTCTCTCTATTCTTTGTTCTTTCATAACCTCTTGCCCTATCCATCAATGTGAAAAGTAATTTCCTCCTCACTCCCCTAATTTGTTATCGATTCCCTTTTTATACCTGATTCCTGTATTCATCTGTGGTTTAATTTGATTGGTGGCGAGAGGTGTTGATGACCTATCAAATTTCTGACAAACTGTTTTTTCCTTCTGCTGTCTTTTTTTTTTAACTATATACTGTGTCTTCCCCCCCCCCCCGCCCCAACTACTATCTATGGATTTCTTAAACACTATTTCGTTTTATTTGTTGGCTTCTGTATATTGCATACCTGATCTTTTCAACTGATCAGCTTTTCAATTTTTAAAAAGTTGAAATTGTTTTCTCGGCAGCTAGGTATTCTGCTGAGCCCAGAGTCAAGAGGAATGATCTCCTAGTGTTGAAATATGGTCTCAGACACTTACTATCTGTGTGACCCTGGGCAAGTCACTTCACCCTGTTTCCCTCAGTGTCTCATCTGTCCAATGAGCCACAAAAGAAAATGGGAAACCACTCCAATAGCTTTGCCAAGAAAACCTCAAATGAGATGAGGAAAAGTCACGACTAAACAACAGCAGTAGTTATCTTCATAATCACAGATTTGTAATATCGTTTGGATCTGCTGCCGATAATCACTAAGCCAGACCCCTTTCTTTCCTCCTTCCACTCCCTCATTATTTCCCTTAAGATGTTTGACCTCTTTCTGAATTTTTTTTATGTTTTTTGTTTCTGATGTCATCAGGGTGTCCCATGTATTCCTCCCTCTCCCTATCCTCGAGAGCCATGCCATGTGAGGAATGGTATTTCTTGATTAGGAAGGAAAAGAAAAGTGAGCACAACTGATGGATGCATTTGGGAAAAGATGTGCAATGTGTAACACCTGTGGACCTCTCACCTGGATGGGGTAGGGTGATGATGTCTTCTTACATTTCCTTTTCAGGCCCACTTCATCTTTAATTTGTTAGAGGTACTTTAAAAATTTTGCTGTGTCGTTCTTTCTACTTCAATTGTAGTTACTGAGTATATATACTGTTGGGTTTTTTTTGTTTTTACTCAATTCACTTTGCATCAGTTCACAAAGGTTTTTCCATACTTCTCTGTACTCTTCCCACACATCATTTCTTCTTGCATGGGAACAGCATTCCATGCCTTTCATGTTCTTGTCTTGTTCCATGTCTTATTTAGCCATTCCCCCCTTGATGAGCATCTGCTTTCTTTACAAATCATACCTGTCACAAAGAGTGTTATTATAAATATTTTGGAATATATGGGGACATTTTTCTCATTAATGGCTCCATTGGGGTATAATGGAGTCTTTGTTTTAGAGGCTTTGGACATTGTTCTTTGCAGAATTCCAAATTACTTTGGAAAATGGATGTGTCATTTCACAGCTCCTCTAATATTAGTTTGTGTATATCCCTACCCCCTGTTTAGGTATCACAAACATGTTTGTGCCATAAAAGGAATTTGATAGGATTCCTTCTTTACCTGTTGTTTCAAGTAGTTTATATAGTATTGGGATGAATTTTTTTTAAATGTTTACTAGAATTCACTTTCACACTTGATCTGGTCCTGAGAATTTTTTCCTAGGAAACTGATGTGTGCCGTGTTCAATTTTTTCCTTTAAGACAGTTATTTATGTATTCTATTTCCTCTTCTGTTAACATGGGCAGGTCACGTTTTTTTGTAATTATTCATCCGTTTCAAATAGATTGTCAGTTTTGCTGGCATATGTTTGAGCAAAATAGCTCCTTAGCACTGCTGTAATTTCATCTTCATTGGTGATGCATTTACTCTTTTGTTTTTGAAACTGGTAATTTGGTTTTGTTCTCTTTTGGTTAATCAAGTTACCCAATAGTTTATCACGTTTTTTTTTGGTCTTTGTTTTTGTTTTCCTTTGTTTTTGTTTTTGCTTTTTGGTGAGGCAGCTGGGGTTAAGTGACTTGCCCAGGGTCACACAGCTAGTAAGTGTCAGGTGTCTGATGCTGGATTTGAACTGAGGTCCTCCTGACTCCAAAGCCAGAGCTCTATCTACTGCACCACCTAGCTGCCCCTGATTTATATGATTTGTTAGTATTTTGATAAAAGCAGTACCTGCTTTTATTTTTTTAATTTGATTTTTGAAAGAAAAACTTCTTAATCTCACCTTTGACTTACAGATTTCCATGTTGATGTATAATAGGAGATTTTTCATTTGTTCTTTTCTACTTTTATATATATTTCGTGCCCAATTCTTTGACCTATCCTTTGTCTGTTTTATGGATCTGAGCATTTAGAGACAGAAATTTCCTCTTAAGTACTGCTTTGGGTGCATCCCACAAATTTGGATCTCTTGCCTCATTGTTGTAATTCTTTTTATGAAATTATTGATTGCTGAATAATGTTTTGTTCTTTCACCCATTCATTCTTTGAGACTGGATATTTTACTTTTCAATTAATTTTAATCTATGCTTCCATGTCTCTGTAATTTATATTGCATCGTGGTCTGTAAAAAGTGCATTTAGTATTTCTCTTTTTTCTCCATTTGGTTATGAGGTTTTTGTGCCCTAATACATGTTCATTTTTTGAGAAGGTACCATTTACAGCTAAGAAAAAGCTACATTCCTTTCTATTTCCATTCAGTTTTCTCCAGAGTTCTCTCATGTCTAACTTTTCTAGTATTCCTTTCCTCTCTTTAACTTCTCTTTTTATTATTTTATGCTTATATTTGCTTAATTCTGAGAGGGGAAAGTTGAGCACTTAGTATAGTTTTGCCATCTCTTTCCTTCTGTATGTTATTTTACTTTTCCTTTAAGAAGTAGGTCTAAGCAAGAGTAATTATTAATGATTATATTTATATCTCCTATCTGTAATTTTCATCAATTATTACTATATTATTTTAACTCTCGTGTCTAATGCATGTATTCCTTTATAATTTAATTTGATACTTGGTGTGAGGTGTTGATCTCTTATCAAATTTCTTCCAAACTGCTTTCCACACGTGCCATCAGTTTGTTGTTTTTTTTATGAACTACTGGCAATTCTTGTTTTGTGTAAGTGGACCATTGGACAAGCCTGTAAGTAGAAGGATTTTGAAGTAATTTGAATTTGGCCACAGATGTGATTACAAGGGAGGCAGGAAGGGGGTCACATGCCTGTGAAGGGAGTGGGCCAGGAAACAGTTCAAGGACACATGGGGGCCAGGGACAGAGAAGCAAGAGTAGGAAGAGGATCAGGTGCATGTTGGGGCCAGCCATATGGTGGCCTGGCCAGAACTGAGAGGAAGAACAAGTGGAGGACAGACATGTGGAGGCTGGACATGACCACACACAGAAAAAGAGAGGTGACACATGGACTGAAGAAAGATACACAGTACCCCGAGCAGGGGTGGACAGAATACTGACCCGTGGATGCCAGAGCTGCGGATTAATGGAGCAGCCAAATTTCTCCTCTCTCAGTGCTGGAGTTCTCAAGCCAAGGCCTGATCCGGAGGCTGCAGAGGTGGAAGGAATCACTCTGCACGTCCAAAACCCCATTCTTTCCCCTGGCCACTTCTCCATCAATACCCTTTAGATACTTGACCTCATTTAAAAACAATTTTATTGATGTTTTCTGTATCTTATGTGATGGTATCCCATGTATCCCTCCCTCTGCCTCTCCTCCTCCCTGAGAGCCATATCCTTGTGACAAATGGTATTTTTTGTTTTAGGGAGCAAAAGCAATCAACACAACTAAAATACTATACAGAGGAAAAGATATTTGTGGCAGGAGACAGTCTCTCTGAGAACATTCCAATTACTGCAGCCTTGCTCTCTGTGGAAGCGCATCTAGTCTCAGAATACTCAGTGGATGAAATACTTATAGGTGGAGACACCCACGCTCTGAGAAGACTCAGAGGAAAAGATACTTGTGGCAGGAGATAGTCTTTCGGGGAACATTCCAGTTACTGCAGCCTTGCTCTCTGTGGAAGCACATCTAGTCTCAGAATACTCAGTGGATGAAATACTTATAGGTGGAGACACCCACGCTCTGAGAAGACTCAGAGGAAAAGATACTTGTGGCAGGAGACAGTCTTTCGGGGAACATTCCAGTTACTACAGCCTTGCTCTCTGTGGAAGCACATCTAACATCAGAATACTCAGTGGATGAAATACTTATAGGTGGAGACACCCACGCTCTGAGAAGACTCAGAGGAAAAGATACTTGTGGCAGAAAACTCTTTGGGAACATTCCAGTGTAAGAAAGAAGCTGGGAAGCCTCTCTGGGCAAAGAAACCTGTCTGTAGGAGAAACTTAGGTGGGGACTGTAGTCCGCCAGTGCAAGCTGAGACCCCACCTTTGTTTCTCTTAATAAAGATTGGTTTCTTTGCCCAGAGAGGCTGTCCAGTCTCTTTCTTACACTGGGTACTACAGGCTTCCTCTCTGGGGAAGCACATCTAGCATCAGAACACTCAGCAGACAAGACATTTGGGGCTGAAGACACTCTCTGAGAACATTCTAGTTACTATAGGTTTGCTTTCTGGGGACACACATCTACCATCAAAATACTCAGAGGAAAAGACCAGAGCTGAAGAGAAAATATGACTTTGAAATACAAGATTCTAAAGAAACATTAAAAGGTAAATATGAAAAAGAATTCGTAAGCAACTCAATGAGGTTAAATTGTGCACTTTCCTATAAGGAAAGAGGATACGCATATCTTCTAAGAATGCGATCAGTATTAGAGCAGGTGGAGGGATTCTACATAGAAAGAAGTTTTGGGAGTGAGCCCCTTAGGTTGGGATGATGGAAGATAAATGGATAGGTAAGAAATATGTATGCCCTGGGAGAAGGCAGAAAAGAGAGAAAGAATGGGGGAAATAATCTCACAGAAAATAGGTGTGCAAGAAAGAACTTTTACCCTGGAGTGGAAAATGGTTGGGAGGGGGTAGCCAATGCTTGAATGTCAGTCGCATCTAAATTGCTTTAACAGGGGGAAATATCTATATCTATATTTGTGTTTGTCCCTATATATACTCATTCAATTGGTTATAAAAATCTATGTTACCCTAGAGGTAAGTAAAGAGAATGGGAAAAGAGAAAGAAAGAGTGGTGATAACAGGGTGGGGTGATAAATAAATAGAGCTGTCCTATGCAAAAGAGATATTAGAGAACAGACAGGATAAAAAGAAAGAGAGAAGGAGAGACAGAAGATGATAGGATGGAGGTAAATGCATAGTTAGTAATCTTAACTGTGTGAATGGGATGAATTCACGTATAAAATGGAATGGGGTAGCAAAATGGATTAGAAACCAGCATCCAAAAATACGTTTGTTTGTTCCTTTGTTTTACAAGAAACTCACTTGAAACAAAGAGAGAACTACAGAGTGAAAAAGGGGGGTTGGAGCAGAAACTCTAATACTTCAACTAAAGTGAAAAATGGAGGGATAGTAATCATTATCTCAGACAAAGCAAAAGCAAAAATAGCCCTATTAAAAAGGTTAAGCAGGGAAACTGCCTCTTGTTCAAAGGAACGACAGGCAGTGAAATAATATCACAAGTAAAGATGTATTTTGGAAATGGCATAGGGTTCAAATTCTTAACGCAAATGAGAGCTAGAGAAACCCAATCATAAAATGAATAAGAAAGAAGTTAAGAAGAGTAATAGAATTTTAGAAAACTTAGATATGGAAGACCTCTGGAGAAAACTGAATGGGAATAGAAAGGGGTGCAGACAGATGGGGCTTTAGGTAAATTCACGTTATACAAATTGGAGTTTATGGAAGGAATTCTATAAGAAATCTGTATTCCAAGATAACACCTCCGTCAACTTTACCATACTATACTGGGATCTCTTTCTGCTCCTGCCCCTGAAGTTGGAACTCTGTAGCCTCCTAACACCACCAGCACCCCTTCCCAAAAGGAAAAGCTAAAAAGTAACCTCCAACTGAAAGCAGAAGAACAGACCTGCAGAGAGATGGCCACCCCACCACGAGATTGGGAGCTGGCTTGAGACCTCCAGTGCTGAGAGAGCAGACCTTCATTTTAGTCTGCCCACCCTCTTAAGAGTTTGGTGCCTGTGTTTTGCTACTTTGTCCATCCAAAGGTTACTGTGTGTCTGTCCCTGGTCCCCTCCACATGTGGCCTGTCCTCTCCTGAATGTTTCCACGTGCGGCCCTCATGTATCTGCCTGCCGGGGTGTTCTTCCTTTCAGCTGCAGCTAGGCCCTCATGTGGCTGGCCCCACTAGCGATGTGTTCCTCTTCTTGCTCTTGCTTCTCTGTGTCCAGCCTCCACCTGTCCTTGAACCACATCCTTGTCCCTCCTTCAACGGGGTGCAGTCCCCTTCCTAACTCCCTTCTGCCCTTATCCACATCCATGGGGTAAATTCATATTACATAAAGGATCTGTGGAATGGTCTGCTTATGTTGTTTTTGTTATCATTTAGCGTTTATTTAGTATTTACTTTTCCAAAATTACATGTAAAAACAATTTTTAACATTCATTTTTGAAATGTTGAGTTCCAAATCCTCTCCCTTCCTGCCTCTCACCCCCCTACCCATTGAGCAGGCAAGCTATTTCATGTAATTTATAAATGTTTAGTCATGTAAAACATATTTCTTTATTAGTTGTGTTGTAAAAGAAAACATAGACCAAAAAAAAAAACCCTCTAGAAAAGTAAAGTTAAAAAGTCTGTTTTCATCTCTCTTCAGACACCATCACTTCTTTCTCTGGGAATGGCTATCATTTTTAATCACAAGTCCTTCAGAGTTGTGTAGAATCTTTATATTGCTGAAAATAGCTATCATTCACAGCTGATCGTCTCATAATATTGCTGTAACTGTGTACCAGGTTTTCATGGTTCTAGTCACTTCACATTCCATTAGTTCATGTAAATCTTCCTAGGATTTTGTGAGACCATCGTGATTATCATTTCTTCTAGAGTCACAGCATTCCATACCACAACTTATTCAACCATTCCCTAGTTGATGCACATCCCATTAATTTCCAATTCTTTGCCACAAGAAAAAAGCTGCTATCAATAGTTTTGCACATATAGGTCTGTTTCCTTTTTTTAAAATTTCTTTTAGGATACAGACCTAGTAGTGGTATTGTTACGTTAATATGCATAGTTCCAAATTGTTCTACAGAATGCTTGATTCCATTCACAACTCCACCAGTAGTGCATTAATTTCTAATTTTTCCCACATCTCCTCCAGCATGTGTCATTTTCCTTTTCTACCATTAGCCAATACCTCAGAATTGTTTTAATTTGCATTTCTCCAATCCATAATGATTTATAACTTTTTTTCATATGGGTATAGATAGCTTTGATTACTTCATCTGAAAAGTCACCGGTCATATCTTTTGATCATTTATCTGGTGGGGAATGGCTCTTATTTGTATAAATTTGACTCATTCCCTCTATATTTGAGAAATGAGGCCTTCATCAGAGGAATTTGGCTACAATAATTTTTCTTTTGCCAGTTATGATTGCTAGCTGTATTTCTCTCCATCCTGTTTCCCCCCTTGTTTATTCTATTCTCTCTCTTCTTTCACTATGTTCCTCCTTAAAAAGTGTTTTGCTTCTGACAACCACCTCGTGCAATCTGTCCTCCATTCTATCATTCCCCCTTCTCTTCTGCCTTTCCCATCCTGCATTTCTGTAGGGCAAGATAGATTTCTGGACCCATTTTGTGTGTGTGTGTGTGTGTTGTGTGTGTGTGTGTGTGTGCATGTGTGTGTTATTCACCCTTTGAGGCAATTCTGATGAGAGTAAGGTGAAAGTATTCCCTGCCACCTCCTCTCTCTTCTCCTCCACTGTAAAAGCTCTTTCATGCCTATTTATGTCAGATAACTTACCCCATTCTACCTCTTCCTTTCCCTTTCTCTCAGTGCATGATGCTTGGCAGAGAGCAGACACTATAAATGTTAACTACTATTATTAGTTCATTAATCAGATGTGACCAGTATATAATGCCAATGATGATGAGATGCATGATTTTCTGTATAAGATAATTTGGAAATACATTCAACAGGATTGAAGTCACCTGATTGGTAGCAGGTTTGTTTCAAGTTTCAAATACATAATAATGTGTCAGATTGGTAAACTTTTGTATCAGGTATGTCAAGCAACTTTTCATAAGTTTGATATTATGAAAGTAACAACTGAAAGTAAAAGTGGAAAAATTGTTTAAAACCACTTATGTTATTTTTTTCAGCCCTGCTAACCCTGTCTTATAATGTTTTCTAGCTGCCATTTGCAGAACTGGATATTTCCACTTTTGCCTCTAATTAAGAGGAAGTTATAGCTAAAACAATATGGCTATCACTTATAAAGGGTGTGGTTTTTAACTAAGTTTTTTTGGGTTTTTGTTTTAATGTGAAAGCATAAAACTGGTCATTGATTACTGTGTGTATAAAGGAGGGGATGAAGTAAAAGCCTTATCTGGATTGGTTCTGCCCATTCAGAGCAGTCCTCCTTGGGGTATGAAGGTGTACAGTAGGGTTAGTCTATTCTTCCTTGTGGGCTGGCGGTCGTCATGATGTCAAAGAGCACAGCCCACCGCAGCTCTAAGAGGAGGTGGGGTGGAAACCCCTGACTCCTCTCCCTTAGTAAGCCGGCTAAGATTGCCTCTGATATAGGGCTATAGAGTGTGATCAGAATCCCCATGTGCCAGTTACCATACACTGGGGTCCACAAAAATAAAGAAACCATGTTGACTCTGGTAGATACTGGTGCAGAATGCATGATGCTCTATGGGAACCCTGAAAGATATCCCGGCAAGTGGGTAGCCATAGAAGGATACAGGAGATATTCAGTCAGTGCAAAACAAACTAAATTAATACAGAAAATAGTGGACTGGCCAGGGTATGTGGCTGTCTGGGGGAAGAACATATCATGGGTGGGCAGGCAGGGGCATCAGGCACCTTCACTGGGGTCCCTGTCAATTCCCCTTATTTTGTAAACTTACCAGCTTCCTGGAAATCATCTGTGTAAGCAAGGTCATCAGCCCTGGGAAAAGAGCTTCTTTGGGTTATTGGAGTTCCTAAAGGATAAACTTGTCTGGTTGAGAATTTGCAAGAGTATATATAATACAGAAATGATTTCCAGTCATTGGTTTTTACACCAGGACAAATTTAAATTTGAGACAAAAGGAAAACAAGTGAAAGAAGTTACGTGAAATCTCTTATGGATGTGAGTCCTGGTAAGTTTTTCTTTCATACTGCAACTCCATGAGAGCAAAAATAATTTTATCTAGCCCTAAGCTGTGATTAGTGAAACTTGCCATTTGAAGTCAAAGCTCTTGGGATGATA